TTGCCAAAGACTTGGTTAAGGACCAGGATATCATATAAACTTTTGGGATTGACCAGGGCCCTCCTTTCTCCAAACAGCTGCCATTTTTGGTCTACCCAGACACTGGGGAATACTACAAGATCTCAGTGTGGGCATGGCCTATGCTGCACTTTGGGAACCCTGTCAGCTGATGACAAATGCCTTCCTGCAGAGGCTGGGGAGAAGCTGCAGCCAGGCCAGGCTGGGAAACAGCCCTGCAGGGCTTGAAAGCAGCAGCAGGGCAGCGAGGCTGCCATGGATCCCTTCCCATGGTGCAGGGCATGGCATGTCCAGAGAAAGCCCCTGGCTGCAGAGTCTCAAAAAAGGCTGAGGGAAATGCACCCACCACGCCCTTTGAGCAGTTCCTTCTCTATTTCTTTCAGGATGTGGTGTGACTCAAGTGATTCTTTCTGTCCTGTGGCTTTGTTCTTCCCTCTCGGAGGACCTTAACAAAAAATAGTTCCATTTGCCAGGAATGGATCCCAGAAAAGCAATGCTCAGCCTGTGGGTACGGCAGGGACACACCACTCACCCCTGCGATGGGAGCCGGGCTTGCGGGCAGTGATCAGCAAAGGAGCTGGGAAAGTCCTCCCTGCAGACACACCTGTAACTCAACAGCCACAGAAGCTTCTGTCACCTGGTTCCTACCAGGTTGTCAATGATTATTCCTCGATGGGACACTGAGAACATACCTGCAGGAGGCTCCAAGGGCTTCAAAACTTTATCCAGCCAATCTAATGGAGAATCCTTCCTGGGAACCTCATCTGGAAGGGAGCACAGATCAGAACCATTCCATGGTGTGCTGGGATCGCCCTTCTGCCTTAGGGAACTGGGCACTGCCAGGGGGTTGGGTAAGACCATGGGAGCCAGATGTCAGTGGACATGGAGAAAGCTGTAGAGGGGCCTGAAATGCTCTGGGCTGGCTCCTGGTCACTCTCAACACTCTTTCCATGCCCTGTGCAACATCCCTCAAGGGTGGGCACTCCCCAGTAGCAGAGATGTACAGCTCCAGCCTCAGCAGGGCTCAGGCCCAGGGGCACAGCAATTACCTCCTGGGACTGTGCCTGGCATGGCCTCCCTTCCTGCAGCAGAGGCTGCCCATGAGCCACTGCTTCCTCCGGGAAACGCTGCCTTCAGCACAGCCTTTGGGTTCATCTCTGGAGAAAGGAAGAGCCACAGCTGGATCAAATGGAACCATTCCCCACTGGGGAGGTGGCATGTTCAAGAGGCAATATTTGTCAAAGTCATGGATAAGGACAAGGAAAACACCCAGGTTATTGGGGCTGGCCAGGGCCCTCCCTCCTCCAAGCAGGCCCTACACCTGATCCAGCCTGAGACCAGGAAATTGCAGGGGATCTCAGGGTGTGCATGGCCCATGGTGCAGTTTGGCTCCCTGTCAGCTGATACCAAATGCCTTCCTGCAGAGGCTGGGGAGAAGCTGCAGCCAGGCCAGGCTGGGAAACAGCCCTGCAGGGCTTGAAAGCAGCAGCAGGGCAGCAAGGCTGCCATGGATCCCTTCCTGCTGTGTTGGGCACTGCGTGTCCAGATGTGCAGAGAAAGTCCCCAGCTGCTGAGTCTCAGGAGAAGGCTGAGGGACATGGACCCACCTTGTCCTTCCTGCAGAATTTTCTTCAGCATTTGCCTCATGGGTTTGGATGGCTCATGGGGTTTCATAACTCCTGTAGCTTTGATATTTCCTCTTGGAGGACCTTAGAGCAAAATAATTCCATTTCCCAGGAATGGATCCCAGAATGCCAATGCTCAGCCTGTGGGGTCAGCAGGGACACACCACTCACCCCTGTGATGGGAGCCAGGCTTGTGTGCAGTGATCAGCAAAGGAGCTGGGAAAGTCCTCGCTGCAGACACACCTGTAACTCAACAGCCACAGAAGCTTCTGTCACCTGGTTCCTACCAGGTTGTCAATGATTATTCCTTGATGGGACACTGAGAACATACCTGCAGGAGGCTCCAAGGGCTTCAAAACTTTATCCAGCCAATCTAATGGAGAAGCCATCCTAGGAAACTCATCTGGAAGGGAGCACAGATGAGAACCTTTTTCGGGGTGTGCTGGGATCACCTTCAGCCTTAGGGAACTGGGCACTGCCAGGGGGTTGGGTAAGACCATGGGAGCCAGATGTCAATGGACATGGACAAAGCTGTAGAGGGGCCTGAAATGCTCTGGGCTGGCTCCTGGTCACTCTCAACACTCTTCCCATGCCCTGTGCAACATCCCTCAAGGCACTCCCCAGTAGCAGAGATGTACAGCTCAAGCCTCAGCAGGGCTCAGGCCCTGGGGCACAGCAATTACCTCCTGGGACTGTGACTGTGCCTGGCATGGCCTCCCTTCCTGCAGCAGAGGCTGCCCATGAGCCACTGCTTCCTCCGGGAAACGCTGCCTTCAGCACAGCCTCTCCATCCACTTCTGCAGAAAGGGACAGCTGGATCAGATGGCAGCATTCCCCACTGGGCGAGGTGGCATCTTCAAGAGGAAATGCTTCTCAAAGACTTGGTTAAGGACCAGGATATCATATAAACTTTTGGGATTGGCCAGGGCCCTCCTTTCTCCAAACCAACACCATTTCTGATCTACCCAGAGACCAGGGAATCCTACAAGACCTCAGGGTGGGCATGGTCCGTGCTGCAGTTTGGACTCCCTGTCAGCTGATACCAAATGCCTTCCTGCAGAGGCTGGGGAGAAGCTGCAGCCAGGCCAGGCTGGGAAACAGCCCTGCAGGGCATGAAAGCAGCAGCAGGGCAGCAAGGCTGCCATGGATCCCTTCCTGCTGTGCCGGGCACGGCGTGTCCAGATGTGCAGAGAAAGCCCCCGGCTGCTGAGTCTCAGGAGAAGGCTGAGGGACATGGACCCACCTTGTCCTTCCTGCAGAATTTTCTTCAGCATTTGCCTCATGGGTTTGGATGGCTCATGGGGTTTCATAACTCCTGTAGCTTTGGTATTTCCTCTTGGAGGACCTTAGAGCAAAATAATTCCATTTCACAGGAATGGATCCCAGAATGCCAATGCTCAGCCTGTGGGGTCAGCAGGGACACACCACTCACCCCTGCGATGGGAGTCAGGCTTGTGTGCAGCAACCAACCCAGGAGCTGGGAAAGTCCTCCCTGCAGACACACCTGTAACTCAACAGCCACAGAAGCTTCTGTCATCTCTTCTGATCTGAACAGGCAGCACTGAGCCTCAGGAGCGGTGAGAGGATCGTGCAGGGCGAGGGCACACACGTGCACGGCTCTGTCCTGGCACCTGCAGCGATGCTGCCCTGGCCAAGCCTTGAGCTGGCAGCTCTCCCAGGGGGAAAGGCCTTCACTTACCCTCATAATCTTCCTCATCATCAGGCTCAGTAACTGATATGGATGGGGAATCCAGATCATCCTCATCATCAGGTTCATCTGCAAAGAAAGGCAGGACAGAACAGCTCCCGTGACACTGCTGAAGATTCTTCTTCATGCTGGAGTGGCAGTGAGTGCACCTGGGTGATTGGTGCCCTCCAAGGCACTCCCTCATCTCCACCTTCCACTCAGGAGCAGGGGCAGGGGGACCACGTGCCTGCAGTGGCCTCACACTGGGATGGAAGGAGCCCCTTGAATGGAAGTCAGGGGAGAAAGGACTCCCTGGAGCTGCCAGCAGCTCTGAACTGAGCCCCAGGCAGGGCCAGAGCTTGGCAGCAGGAGCAGGAGCAACTCAGGTTCCCTGGGGCCAGAAATGAGCCACACAAGGCACAGCCCTGGGGCACAGCCCTGGGCCTGGCCCCTTCCTCTCTGCTCTTTTCCATGGCTGCACAGAGCACATGGAAGGAGACACTGGCATTGCACACGGGAAGAAGACTGACAGCTAAATGCTCCTTCTTCCCACTGCTAGTGACCTGTGGGATCCCTCAGGGCTCTAGAAGGGAGCAGGGCGAGGTTTCCAGAACCCATCAAGCCTGAGATTATTTTAAGAGATATGGCATATGAGTGAGCTCTTGCCACCTTGACACTGATTATTCTGTGCAGAAAGGGACATTGAGAACTTGCCTCCAGCATCTGGCAAGGTCTTCAAACCACCATCAGCATCTGGCAAGGTCTTCAAACCACCATCTACCACCACTTCCAGATGTTCCATGTCACGATCCAAATCTAGAAGGGAGCACAGATCAGAACCATTCCATGGTGTGCTGGGATCCCCTTCTGCCTTAGGGAACTGGGCACTGCAAGGGGGTCAGGTAAGGCTGTGGGAGCCAGATGTCAATGGACATGGCCAAAGCTGCAGAGGAGCCTGGGGAAAGCTCTGGACTGGCTCTGGACATTCTCAACACCTTTTCCATGCTCTGCGCAAAATCCCTGAAAGGCAGGTACTGCCAAGGAGCAGAGATGGCAGCTCAAGCCTCAGCAGGGCTCAGGCCCAGAGACACAGCAATTACCTCCTGCTCCTGGGACTGTGCCTGGCATGGCCTCCCTTCCTGCAGCAGAGGCTGCCCATGAGCCACTGCTTCCTCCGGGAAACGCTGCCTTCAGCACAGCCTTTGGGTTCATCTCTGGAGAAAGGAAGAGCCACAGCTGGATCAGATGGAACCATTCCCCACTGGGGAGGTGGCATGTTCAAAAGGCAGTATTTGTCAAAGTC